CTACCACGCCTCGGCTGATTTTTTGATTTATAGTAGAGATGAGATCTCGCTGCCCAGGCGGGTCTCGAACCCGTGGGCTCAGGCAATCCACTCACCTCAGCCTCCCAAAGGCGCAGGATTACAGGCTGAGCCACCGAGCCCGGCTAGCCTTGGAACTTCTACATTCAAACCCTTCATTATTAAAAGCCAAATGAAGATTTCTGTGATAAATTAGAAATATAGGAGAACAGGAGAGGCATTTAAAAAAAGAAGACAAGAATAGAAAAAAGCAGAAAGACAGTTGTTTTTTTTTTTGAGTTGGAGTCTCATCTGTTGCCCAGACTAGAGTACAGTGGCCACTCCCGGCCACCACAGCCTTGACCTGCTGGGCTCTGGTGATCCTTTGGCCTCAGCCTTCCAAGTAGCTGGAACTACAGGCACGTGCTACCACGCCCGGCTCATTTTGATTTATTGTAGAGATGAGGTCTCGCCAAGTTGCCCAGGCGGGTCTCAAACCCGCGGGCTCAGGCAATCCACTCACCTCAGCCTCCCAAAGCATGCGATTACAGGCTGAGCCACTGAGCACAGTGGAAGACAGTTTTGATACCCACAGTAGATCTGCGATACACAACAGCTTTTGTAAGGCCAAGTAACCCAAGCCTTGAGAGGCGGCAGAGGAGAGCACATCAGACTTGGGGTTGGAAGATGAGAATTCAAGTCTTGGCTTTGCCACCGAGTAGCTGTGTGACCTTCAGTAAGTCATGTAGCTAGGCACAGTGGCTCATGCTTGTGACCCCAGCACTTTGGGAGGTGGAGGCGAGAGGATTGCCTGAGCCCAGGAGTTCGAGACCAGCCTGGGCAATCTGGTGGAACCTCGTCTCCACAACAAATCAAAAAATTAGCCTGGTGTGGTGGCATGTGCCTGTAGTTCTAGCGACTTGGAAGGCTGAGGTGGAAGGATCGATCGAACCCAGCAGGTCAAGGCTGTGTGTGCCACAGTACTCCAGCTTGGGTGACAGACTGAGACTCTAACTATATAAAAAACAAAAACCAAAAAGTCATGTAACTTCTCTGGATCCAGAAAAATGTCAGTATCGTCTGTCTTACCTACCTTATGAGGTTCTTGTGAGGATCAAATCAAGTGGATGTGAACTTGATTTGCAAGCTGTAATTACACATATCAAGTATTGTTATTCTTAATTAACCAGGCATGACAGAGAAGTGAAAACTCATGTTAACTAAATGTGGCTAGACACTCTGAAGAAGGCTATATCCTAAAGTGTGGTGACGAAAAAACCAAGGCAGAGAGAAGGTCGGTGAGTTGGTCGAGGCTATAGTGCTTGCTATGACATCATGAATCATGGGACTACTTGGTTCAGTTGGCGCTGGTGTTTGGCCTAAGATAAAATCTGCCCCCTTTTCTCCACACGTACCACCAGGAGAAATATTAATGGTGGTGCCAGCTGTGTCCAACTGTCTTGCCCGCACCAGCCCACTGTAGCCCACCCAGTCAGGAAAGGCTCAACCAGCTGTCCTTGAGGCAGGGGAGGCTGAGGACAGAGAGTGCCTGGAGGGATGGCTTCACTAACCGAGTCTTCTGGAGAGGCTCTCTCTGTGGTTCGGATGTGAAGCGAGGGAGAGGATGGCCTTGGAGCCCAAGAGGAAAGCAGAGCCGACACAAACAGGTTGGCGGTGGGGGGAGACAACGGGAGAGAAAGATGCAGAGAGGCCTTCGCCCCAGAGCTGTCTTGGATCCTGGGAGTATTCAGGTCTCCTTCCTGTCCCAATCTGCCTGTCCTTTCAACAGACACCTTATCTTAAAAATGGCCTCCACAAGCCTCGCAACCTTCCTATAGCCAAAAAACCTCAACACGATGGGTCCTCAGTACTTCCTGACTAAGCTTTTCAGCTTCTTTATTGGTATTCCTTCCTTTCTTTTTGGCCTCCATTCAGACTGGAGTACAGTGACATGCTCACGGCCACGACCTGCTGGGTTCAGGGGATCCTTCTGCTTCGGCCATCCAAGTAGCTGGGACTACACGTGTGTGCTACCATGCCTGGATAATATTTTTGATTTATTGTAGAGATGAGGTCTTACCACGTTGCCCAGGCAGGTCTCAAACCCTTGGGCTCAGGCATTCTTCTTGCCTCAGTCCCTCAAAGTGCTGGGATTACAGGCATGAGCCACTGTGCCCAGGTATGTATCTACATTCATATTAAAGGTAGACCTTCTTAAAGTACAATCTGAACACGTCTGTTTCCCAATCACTAATATTTCGTGGCTTTTAAGAGCTGTGGAATGAACTGCAAATTTCCCAGCCAGGTGTTCCAAGTCAGACACTGCCTGGCACTGAGTAAAAGCTCTATCAGCAATTACTGCTATCTTTGCAGCCCTATCTCCAACTGCATCCTTTCATGGTCCAGTCTGTCTATTTCTATCATATGATTTGTTGGTTTTCTGCCTTCTAAAAAATAATTAAACAGCCAGGCTCGGTGGCTCAGCCTGTCATCCCAGTGCTTTGGGAGGCCGAGGTGAGCGGATTACCTGAGCCCGCGGGTTCAACACCCGCCTGGGCAACTTGGCGAGACCTCATCTCTACAATAAATCAAAAAATTAGCCGGGTGTGGTAGTGCGCGCCTGTAGTTCCAGCTACTCGGAAGGCTGAGGCGGAAGGATCACCGGAGCCCGGCAGGTCGAGGCTGCGGTGGCCGGGAGCGGCCACTGCACTCCAGTCTGGGCCACGGAGCGAGACTCCAACTCAAAAATAAATAAATAATTAATTAAACAAAGATACATGTGCTATTTTTTTCAAACGTAAGAGGCAAACATTATGAACATAGGGATATCCTTGGCTCTCTGCCTCTTCCAGCCCTTTGGCGGTTGAAATGGTCTAACTGACTCCTAAGCCTAGTTTATGAGGGTAATGAATGGGGGACAGAAACTGAGAAGCTAAGCTAGATGGATTTGCGGTGGAAAGAACAGAGCTACTGATGGACAAGAAAGCATCACTAGAAAAAGAGGCAGAGGAAACAAAAACTCATCTAGAGCCTGATTTGGGAGGATGGTTTGGAGGCTTGAAGGAGTGGGAGAAAAGAGACTGGCAGCAGCTCCCACGAATGGCCGTTCAGGGGGCAGGTTTGGGCGAGAAATTATGAAAGAGGATAATAGGAAGTTTTGGTTGCATGACATGACCGTGACACAGCCCCGCCCCCTGCCTTGGCATTTTCTTGGACACTGCTCTGAGGGTTCGATTTGCTTTTCGATTCTTTTCACTTGACAGACTGGAACCCAAGAGAGCCCAGGCTAGCGTGGGCCACACACTCCCACTCCGTACTCTCGCAGGCCTGCTCGTCTCGCCCTAGAGTTCATGGTTCCCACCTCTTCTTCATCACCAGTTGCCCAAGTTCTACCTACATCAAGGCTGTTCAGCTGGCAGCCTGCCCGTGAACACTTTTCATCCGCCAAGACACAACTTGTAGATTCTCTCCTCACTCTCCCGTAACACTTTCTTTTGTCTTTATTATAGCAGGGTCTCCTTCTGCCTGGTCACCAGTCAGCCTCAGGCACTCATCTGTGAGCTTTCTAAGGGCAGAGACTGTCTTAACCGTCTCTGTAACGTCTTACAGTGCCCGGTGCCATGTTTCTACAGAAAAAATTAATATTTGCTCAGTGCATGAATAGAAGAACGAACAACTGGAAATCAGGAGAAATCAAAGTGCTATTGGAGATAATCTGTCCACAATGATCGTAGGAGGAAGAGACATTTGGTAGGATTTCCACATCTAAATTTTGGGGAGACGTGAGCTAGTGAAAAAGAAGGCAATAAAAATACACAGAGATTCGCAATAAAATCATGGGTCAAATGCAACTATGTCACAGCAAGGGTAAATTTGATGGTCGTTGGTAAAGTGCCATTAACGGTGAACTGAAAAATTACTTTTCAGAAAAAAATACATGATTAGCATAGCTTATGGAGAGAATGAAATGGTAATGACATATCTTAGTTCAGTAATTGTACTACTGAATTAATTTTAATGTGTTGGCCTTGAGCCCACAGGTAGGGAATTGGTTGAAAAATCTCCTAGAGAACATCATGATCAAAGATAAGCAGCTGTGGAGCACCCCAGGGACCTGCTGCAGGTTCTAGTCATTTAAGGTTGCAGTAA